TCCACTGTCAGAAAGAAACTGTGCGCATAAGGCCGCTCTCCCTTCTCCTCGTGAAACACTCCCAGGCCTGTCGGAAACCGAAAAGAGCCGAAGATCCGACTCGGCACCGGGTCCCCCACGAGCACCACAAGCCACGCAAATCAGAAAAAGGAAACAACAAAAAGGATAGAATCAAGCAAACACTAAATCAATCTGTAAAGAATTTAAAAAAATAAGTAATATAAATGAAAAGAAGATTATTAATTAAAGATGCCTTCGAGAATATGATTTTTTAAGAGTGTGTGTTAATAATTGACATTTCAAATAGAACTTCGTAATGTTGCGCTGCAATGTTGAGAAAATATTACACGACAAGTCTGAGGTAATATTGACAAGTAGTATTCAGGCAATATTAATATAATTATTATTAATATAATCGTAAATTCGTTATCCCTGATTATTGGGTTAAACTTTCAAAAAGTACTGAAAGAAATGCGAAACCGATTGAAAATTGATAATAATTTCTTTAAAAAAACATTATTTATTGTGTGTCATGGGAAACCCTTAACAACATAAATAAGTCTGTTTTCCGTTTTTAATTAAATGTGATTTGTTTAAAAATAATGATAAAATTTTTTGAAAATAATTCACAACATTACTACGTGTATTTCTATTAAATTTTTATATATTACCACATAAATTACCATAAATTATCCTATTAATTTCCATAAATTGCAAAAATTAGTTTTAAAAATTTTCTTTTATATATTATAAATTATCTTACAAATTTCATAAATTTCCAAAATTAGATTTGAAAATTTTCTTTGATATATTATAAATTTCCTTTAAAATGTTTTTAAATTACCGCATAAATTAAGCCATAAATTTCCAAAATTAGTTTTTTAATTTTTGATTTATATATTATAAATAACCTTTAAAATTTCATAAATTACCGTATAAATTTCACAAATTACCTCATAAATTTCCGTGAATTACCAAATAAATTTTCTGCTTTAGTTTTTTTAATCTTAAATTTTTTAAAAATTATTATTGTTATTATAAATTTCCTCCAAAATTTCATAAATTACAATAAATTATAATAAATTTCCCAAATTTAATTTTTAAAGTTTGTTTTTTATTATATTAAAATTATTTAAAATTTTCATTAAGTACCACAATGTCACTTTATATTACATTTAGTTTACATATAATTTGTTTAAAATATACAAAAATTATCATAAATTACCGTATGAATTTCCAAAATTAGTTTTTAAAATTTTCTTTTATATATTATAAATTATCTTAAAAATTTCATAAATGACTACATAAATTTTCATAAATTTCCGCATAAATTACAATAAAATTCCCAAATTTAATTTTTAAATTTTAATTTTTATTATATTAAAAATTATTTGAAATTTTTATTAAGTACCACAATAGCTCTTTATATTACATGGATGCGTTTACATCTATTTTGTTTAAAATATACCAAAATTATAAAGAATTTGTCCGGCCCATTACAGATATTTCGTTCTTGACTATCATACTTGATAGTTATACTGTGATTTGAATTTTAATTTTAAAAAAATTCTACAATAGCAGAATCCAAATTGTATGCTACGCGGAGAATTGCCCATGTATATATACACTACCGTCCGAAATTGTGCGAACTCTGCTTTTTCAACAACTATAAAACTGTTCAAATCTTCAAAAATATTAAAACTAAAATTTTTTCCTCTTTATTTTATTAAAGCTAATAAAAGTCTAAAAGAAATGACACCTTGACAAAGAGAATATGTTAATTTTTCAATTAGATATCTAAGAAAAACCCAATTTTCAATGTTTTTACTATTTTTTTTATTTCTCTGGCAAAAATTAATATTTTTAAACGTTCTTAGGCTTATTGAAATCGTATTTTGTTATGCAATTCAAATTATATAAAACAATTTATGTACACATTCTTCCCTAGCGTATGCAAACCGTGAAAGTTGGCTCATAAAATGTCAAAAAATTTTGATTAAGGGGGGAGCACCAGTTGTAACTCAACAAATAATGCTTTTTACAAGAATATTTTCCCAAAGAACAATAAATCTTTTTAAAGAATACTATTTATTAGTTAAAAGTACATGTAAAAAGCTGTAATTTAAAAGAAAAAAAAATTTTTTTAACAAAAATTTTTGGAGATATGAGCAATTGAAGTGGCGCCTTAAGAAAAAAGGCGAATTGCGGTGACCAGCATTCTGCAAGTATACTTCGTCTGAAATATAAAAATGAAATTGATTTACATTTATTATAAGATTATCTAGTTCGTGATCGAAGGATTTAAAAAAAAAAATTTGACAAAATGGCGACCTGTCAAAGTCAAAAGTATGATTTTCGTTAAAAAATACGGTCGATTTTCAGCTATATAAAAAAAAGTTTTGCATAAAAAAAAAATCCTTCGATCACGAACTAGACTTATATGTGTAAATGAAGCACACTAAATTTTAAATAAATCGGTTTAATGGTATTCGAGTAATCGTGGTCACGGACTTGGAAAATGGCATTTTGAGAAAAACGCATTCAAAGTTTCAACTTACTTTTTTTTGTTAAGAAGAAATTTTGTTTCCAAGTTACAAAGAGTCATCGATTCCTGGACCATATAATAACTTTTCCGCAGTGGTTGCCGATTCTAAAATGCCAATTTGCTGTCATCTGTCGTTAGGGTCAGGTATGGCTGGCCACCTTGTATGAAGCCACGGGACGCGCCGCTGCAGTGTTCTGTATATCTCATTTATTTTTCACCAGATCAACTTTGAAATTTACAGACACATTTCTAAATATGTATACTTTATGAAAATTCACCAAAAAAAATCGATTTTTCGAAAGTTACAACTGGTGTTCCCCCCTTAATATTTATATGACAAAAAATGATCAGTAAAATGTATAAATCTTAAATTTACTTACATAAATCAGAGAAGTTTAGAATGATATATTTACTTGATTTTTAAACATTATATTTTATTGTAGAATTAAATTTAAATTTTTTGACATTTTATGAGCCAACTTTCACGGTTTGCATACGCTAGGGAAAAATGTGTACATGAATTGTTTTATATAATTTGAATTGCATAACAAAATACGATTTCAATAACCCTAAGAACGTTTAAAAATATTAATTTTTGCCAGAGAAATAAAAAAAATAGTAAAAACATTGAAAATTGGGTTTTTCTTAGATATCTAATTGAAAAATTAACATATTCTCTTTGTCAAGGTGTCATTTCTTTCAGAATTTTATTAGCTTTAATAAAATAAAGAGGAAAAAATTTTAGTTGTAATATTTTTGAAGTTTTGAACAGTTTTATAGTTGTTGAAAAAGCAGAGTTTGCACAATTTCGGACGGTAGTGTAAGGGAAGTGTTCCGGTTGTGGGCACCCTTTTGTTTTTGGCTCATAACTTTTGACCAAATGCATATTTTGGGTCATGGCTGCATCAGTGGTATTCTAGAGGCCTTAGATAACTGTCAAAACAAGAATTAAATTTATTCCTTTAACTAGAAAGATTTTATTTAAAATTTAGTGAAGTGACCATTTTTGGTCCAAAAAAAAGTTGTACCCGGTTGTGGGCACCCTAGGTAAATTCGCAAAAAATGAATAAAAATTAAGTAAAAACACAACAATTAAAAAGAAAATGATAATTCTTAAATATTATGGGATATTCCATTCACATTCCTGGAATATTACTTTAGAACATCGAGAATATTCCAAAGGAATATTCTATTTATATTCCAGGAATATAAAAATATCCGCCTTTTGGAATGTTCTTTTGGAATATCTTTATGAATATTCTTGAAAAACATCAAAATTACAACATATTTTTCGATCTTACAAAAATATTCCAACAAAATATTCCTACTATACTCCAAAGGAACATTCCAATGATCGGACATTTTATTATTCCTGGAACATGAATGGAATATTCCAAAAAAATATTTCGAATGTTGCAATGGAATATTCCACGAATGTGAATGGAATATTCCGTGATATTTAGGTTTCTTTATTTAAAAAACCTTTTTTGGCAGAAAGAACAGCAAAATAAATTATTAAATTATTAAAATTAACAACAATTATAACAAGTTTTTACTTTACTCGTCGATTTTTTTATCTTTATCAGAAACGCAATGCTTACATACAAAGTAGTTGGCACGAATATTAGCGCACTTCAAATGCACCGGACGACTACATTTTTTGCATTTGATGGAGTTTGACGCGGTCAATTTCCGTGGCAAAAAGTCCAGACAGATAATGCAAAAGTCCTCATCATCGTCCGATGATGAAGACTCTTTTACCTTGATGCGCTTTGCTGCTGGTTCGGATGGTGTTGCCTTCCGTCCACGCTTTGCTGCTGGTTTGGCTGGTGTTGCTTTCCGTCCACGCTTAGCTGCTGATTTTGCCTTCCGTCCACGTTTAACTGCTAGTTTGGCTTACTTGGTCATTGGCTCAGGCGCTTTCTTAGCTTATTTTGCCTTTAAAGAAGCAATGCACTCAGTAGAAGTAAGCACGGTACTTTGCATCGGCTTTCGGCCACGATTCGAAGGCTTCTTTGGTGTAGCTGCCTGCAGAGGACCAATTTCTTCCAAAACTGATTGGCAGTTCATTGAAGAATCTTTTCATGTCGAAGGTTCTGGTTCGGTGAGCACAACCTCCTTACGTCCAACATCTGGCATGACGTTTCGACACTGTTCCTCTTCATTAACACGAGCCTCACACTCAGATTCTACCTTATTTTGCTCAATAGCTTCATCAAAATCAGATTCGCTGAAAATATTCGGATCGTATGGAGAGATTCCTGTTGCTCTGAAGCCGGATTTGATGATTTTGGGCGTCAATGCCAGATCAAGAACCTTGCAGACCAAGCCAGCAACATGGCGAATTTCTAATACCTGGAAAAACGAAATGAAAATTAAAAAAAAATTGATGAAGACAAAGTTTTCAAGAACATGAAAAATCTCTTTGCATATGAAAAATCCCACCTTGTTGGCATTATTTTTTTTGCCAAGCCGCACACTGTGATTTGTAATAAGTCTTCATCGGTCCGAAGACAGAAACATCCAGTGGCTGCAATTTGTGGCTGCAGTGCGGTGGGAAGGACAGAATATGCACTCCATTGGCAACAGCAATATCGATGGCTTCTATGGACAAATGTGACAAATGGTTGTCAAGAAGCAGCAAGACAGGAGAAGCTAGCGTAGGATTAACACAATTGACAAAATGTTGCATAAATCGTACAAAATCTGGTGCGCACATCCACCCAGAATCATTAGCAAAACCAATAGTCCCAGGTGAGACATTGTCTAAAAAAGTGCTCTGCATATTCTTTCTAGGAAAGAGAAAAAATGGTGGAATGCTGTTGCCAGCAGAATTTACGGTTAACGCTAACGTGATCATCGTTCCTCTTTCAGCGGCCTCAATTTTTCCGACATGTCGCTTTCCCTTTTGAGCGATCACCTTGCCTATTTTCGTAGCGACTGTTGAGAAACCTGATTCGTCCATGTTATAGACATAAGAAGCTTCAAAGTGATGTTTATCGATCAACTGTACAAAATTTTGAAAGAACATTTCAACATTTGTCTTGCAAAAGGCTTTTACACGGTGGATGGACGTCTGTTCTGGTGAGCGTAAAACGAGATCGGAGTGCCGGGGCATAAAATTTGTATACCAATGACGGCCTGCCATCTGATCTTCATTCCAACTTACTGGGTAGACAATCTTGAGTTTTTTCGCGAACATATAAGCCAATTCGCGAAGCTCGTTGATGCTTAGGCCATAATAATGGTTGACACACTTCAAAGTAGAAAATTACGAAATTGAAGAATTCGACTTTATCAGCAAAGTGACATCTATTAGATGTCATTAAAACTCCTTGGTTCAGAGTTAAGTGTTTCATGTGATAATTATATCGATATGATTTGTCGACAAATAATTATTAATTTTTGAATTAATTTTGATCTGAAAAAATAAGCTGCGTGCTCGAGTACACTTCAATTTCGTAATTTTCAAAATTCTTAATCAGCGATAAATATAGTATTTCTATATAAAATATATCTAACATTAACTATAGCTGTTGACTAGTTATGGGCTTGATCTGAGAATATAAGAAGCTTGGTCGTTCAGGCTGTGTTGGCATGGTGCATTAGTCGGCAGAAGTCCCGCGTTAGGCAGCAACTAAGGAGGTTCGAGTCCTCACAGATGCACAGTGTACTCGAGCACGCAGCTTATTTTTTCAGATCAAAATTAATTCAAAAATTGATAATTATTTGTCGACAAATCATATCGATATAATTATCACATGAAACACCTAACTCTGAACCAAGGAGTTTTAATGACATCTAATAGATGTCACTTTGCTGATAAAGTCGAATTCTTCAATTTCGTAATTTTCAAAATTCTTAATCAGCGATAAATATAGTATTTCTATATAAAATATTTCTAACACTTCAAAGTATATTGTACCAGGTCCTTTTCTTGAGAGGAAGAGAAAATGTGTACAAAATGAAAAAGAATAGTTAAAATTATGATGCGCTACTTGCGAAAAAGTCAAACAATAAAGAATAAACATAACAAACATACAATAAAGAATAAACTTACCATGTTTGATGGCGTACGTTGTCTTGAACTGCGGACGAACTTGAAGAGTTATTCCAATAGTCAATAGATTATATTCATTTAAATGCAAGTAAAGAAAAAAATAGAGTACCATTGAATTTCAAAAATATAATGTCACATTTTGGTATAGATATATATATATATATATATTTGGGTAAAGAAAAATATAAGAAAGAAAAATACTGTTTTCATGAGTACACTTGCACTCAGGAGAATGAGTATATATATACATGTGTGTGTATATGATTGTCTAAACTATACACTAATATAGAAATCCCAAAAATATAAAATGCATAGATAAAATAAATCCAATGTTTAAATATTATATTAAATAATTAATAATAAATAAACAAAACACCCCTTTACATTATCTTAAATACCAATAAACTAAATAATTAAAAATTATTTTATTTTGCAAAATTATTATAAAAAATTAACTAATTATTTTAAAAGAAAAAAGTTATAAATAAATTATTAATAAAAATCAAAGAAAAGAAATATTAAGAAATGAATTTAAATCTAGAGAAATAGAATTTTAGAAATAATAGAAAGAGACAGAAGACATTCATAGATAACACCATATAAGAATACATAAGGAAAAATAATAGTAAGAGACGAAAGATATAATTTCGAATATAAAGAAATTATTAATTTAATTCAAATTTAAATATTTTTTATTAACAATATTAAAAATAAATATAGACTATTATTAAATTAATTAACGATATTTTTCATTTTTTTACATAAAATAATGTAAATTATTTTATTTAATTGCTTAAAATAATAATATTAAAATAAAAATTATATGTTAAATAAAGGTAAAAATTATTTAAAAATTATTGGTAAAAGTAAAATTTTTGTCAAATTATTATTTTTTAAGATATTAAAGATTTAAAGAAATTTCAGTAATAATTGAAAAATGATTGACAGCTGAACAATGGCATTGTTCCCTGTATACGTTACAACGGAATTAGAAAGAGAGAAATCGCTCTGTCCTTACCAAAACAATTTAAATACTATTGGCTAAGAAAATAGGACGCCGCGAAAAATGCGATTAGAGGGAAAATTTGGCGGTAAGAAATATACAGCAAAAGTATACGAAGAAAGGTAGGAAGGGAAAACCGCGGATTGTCAAGCAATCAGCTGTCAGAGTCTCTCCAACACACTTACCAAATTTAAATATACAAGGGATTTAGAGAAATTTGGGGGATGAAGCGTCTTCTCGAGTCAATAAATAGAGAAGGAGACCCAAATTTGGACATTCATTCTCTGAATTTCAATCGGTCTACATTTATATCATTATTATTAGTTTTTGACAGATAGTTTCGTGAAAATAAATTGTGATTGGATTTAACAAATATAAAGTAAGTTTTTGAGAATTAAGAACAAGTGATTTACATAGAATCTTTTTATTGTTTAAAATATTAAATTTTCATTATTTATATTTTTTATTATTTATATTTTTTTTTCTTAAATCTTATATGATATCTGAGAGGCTGGTGTAACAACCGTTCCAACTCAGAATTATATAAGAAATAAAATATTTTTAACAAACAATAAAATTAAACTCAATATTAGGAAAGTAGAAGAAACAAAAAAGTGTATAATCACTTTAATTAAAAACACATAAATCTACAAAGTCACGCCATGGTGAAAGACTTGAGGGGTTTCTGGTAAATCGGAGTACCACCTCATTATCTGGATCCTTAAGTGGTATCAAAAGCAAATCGTAAGTCTCTTGAAGATACATATATCTCAAATTCATTGCAATAGGCGATCAATTTGTTAATGTGTAAGATTCAATTGATTATGAATCCCTGTCCTCCCACAAATAGTTAATTTAGGAAATAAATAATTTATTTAAATTATTTATTTAGCAATTTTTCAGAGAAATAAATAAATTTTTCATTTATTTTCTGTCTAACTTAAATCATTTTAATATGTTGTTAAATTAATAACATGTTAAATAAATTTATGTCTAAGGAGAATATTTGTGAGATTGGTTTATTTATAATAGATTATTTAATTTAGGGAATAGGGAATTTGACCTTGATAGCTGTTAGGAATTGTTAAGTTTCTTTTATTTTATTTAAACCTTATTTTATATTTTTTTTATAGATAAGCTTACGAGATTATTTACAATCTCAATAGAGGAAAGATAAGTTTGTTAGAAAGGAGTTTAAATAAAAGGTGAAAAATTTAAGTTAATTAATAAAAAGATTTCATTTAGTTTCATTCAGAACGAACTCACAATAAATTATTTAAACCAAAATAATTAACAAATAATTATATTGAATGATTGATTTTATATTTAATTTTTCTATTAATAATTAATATTTATTTTTTTTGTAAAGTAAAAATATTCAGCTTTGAAACGATAAATGACATTAATTCATTTATAAAAGTAAAAGTGAATAAGAAAATAAACAGCTGATCTACCGAACAATTACAGGAAAGATTCCTCTAATTTGGTAAACAAGCAACAAGTTTTCTAAAAACAAAATAAATATTTTCTTTCAAACATATCTATAGAACGATAAATTTAAAACTTGATCTAATTTAAATTATTCTATTATATCATTACAATCATATCCATTAATATAGCTGGCACGTGTCTATTGTATCAAATAATTAAATTTGGAAATATAATGTCCCTTTAAATTTAGACAATAGCCATTCTTTCTTTTGTATAAAGTTGCGTAACGTAGGTGATTACTACATAAACATTTATGTTTGTGGTCATTCAACCACATTCTTGAACTTATTAATTTCTCAGAACCGAATCAAATCAGGGCTAAGATAGATAAGAAAGTAAACACAAACACGCATACTAATACATATCCCCGGTGCGAGAATTAATAATGCTTTAACTGGTACCCCTGGTGTTTTCGTTTTCTGAATGAATTTAAATTGAATGAAATTTTTTTTCCTTTCTTTCTTTCTCTTTTTCTTTAAGAATATATAATAAGCAAAATAATAGGGAAAAGTAGAATTAAAAGAGTGCACTCAAAATCATTCACAATTATAAAAATATTGAATAAATAAATATAAAATTAAAATTTTTTTTTTGTTTTGAATATTTAAAATGGATCCCGAACAAAATAAAAACAATGAAGCATCAAAACCTTTTTCAGATGAAGAAAATAAAGATAAAGTAAAGAAAACAGGTACAATATCTAAAAAACAAAGTAAAAATAAAGGATTTTTAGAGATTTTCGATGAAGAAATCACTCAGATTTCTCTTTGTGATAGTGATGAAGAATATGATCTTAATGATGAGGAACAGGAAATATTAAATAAAACTGAAAAAGATTTTGATGATTTCATGAAAGACTTGGGAATAACGGTTACAAAAGTAAAAAAGGGATTAGGTAAATTAAATACTAAACAGAAAGAAAATATGGATTTATGCATAAAGGAAAGATCTAAAATACGTAAAAGAATAGAACAAAATGAGAAAGAAATCGAACAATTAAAAGCTAAATTATATGATAGAGTAGACACCGGTATTGAAATTAACAAAAAAATATGCGAAAATTTAAAATTAAATGTAGAAGAATCACTGGACGAAGTAAATAACAAAATTCATGACATGAATGGCAAAATTAATAACTTACATTTGAGTACTGAGGAAAACACAATTTTAAGTTTAGATAATGAAAATAAAATAAAAACAATTCAAGAAAATCAAGAATATTTTGAACAAAAAATAAGTAGAATAAGAAATAATGATAATTCTAATAAAAATTCATGGATAAGAGAATATACTCCTCCTAAATTTTCTGGGACTACTCAGGAAAGGCCCATGATTTTTTTGAAAGAATTAGAAGATTATATTCAAGTAAATGGTATTTTAAATTCAGAATTCAAATACTTTATTCAAACAT